GCTGCATCACCTTTATTTGATCTCGCACGAACGATGCTAATGAATGAAAGGAAGGCATCTCCGAGCTACGATGCTCCATTTCAAACGCACGCACGGTGTCGGGGTCTAATTTCTTTAGTGCAATATGGAGAAACACCACGTCCATAAGGTCATTAAATTTTAAATTCTTAAGTGCAGCCACCGATGCCACAAATTTATCTAGAAACTGCTCTAAGCCGTTGATGTTCGCGGATGATATAGGTTTAAGATCGAATATCTGGTTCAAATATTCGGAAGCTAACATTCTCCTATCTTCATATTTAGTTTTAAGCGTTTCGAATATTAATAAGTAATTGTTTGCTGTAGGTATAAAACCGGAGCAGATCGACTGCTCTGCCACTAAGTTTACTAATTAAGTAATATAATTTTTCAGCGTCCGATAACGATGGGTTATTGTGTATATTGTTTTGAAAACTACTGAAGAAGAAGGGCCACGTCTTATTATCACCATTGAATACCGGAATATCTATTGGCGGCAACCTAATTGATCACGAGGACGTACCTGCAATTCCGGCTTTGCTTCGTTTTGAGATTGTAGGAGTTTTGCCGTTCTTTTCACGCGACACAACATATCTTCGAATGCCAGCAGCGGTTGGTAGTTCACTATGTATTTCGGGTCGATTTGTAATTCCAAATATTTAATTTGGTCTAATATTCTTTCGTAATCCGTCCGCAAAGAATCCACCGTTTCAATTTCATTCAGAAAAGTTTCCCGCACCGCTTCTACATTAATGTTCTTTATATGATCGCTAATGTTTTGTATACGTGAAAAAAGTACGTCCCTCTTGGCATAAAGCGTTTTAATTTTAAATTCACTTCCACTAACTGCCATTTTAAATTATTATAACAAAGTTATTAATCACAATTAATCTCACACGCATAAACGATGGACGATGGACGCTCGGTATGCCGTATTACGTAATTAAATCGAACACCTGCTACAGTCGAGGCGACACGTTGCTTGCTAACTCAATGTTTTTATAAAGATTGTCGGGTAATCGTACCAAACGGTTGCTATCACACTGTTTCAATTATTTAATAAGCTTTAAATTTAACCAAATACGAGCGCTATAAAATAAATAATTCTGTTTGCGAGTACCTAATCAAAATTTAAATTTAAACGAACACTATTTAAGTCTATTCCATAGATTAGAGTGCATTATCTAAATAATTAATTTAATAATTCGACCAGAAAATGGTTGGAGGACCACCAAACACCAATCCAAATCCTGCTCGAAGGACCATAAAATGGTGGAGCCACGTGTTTAAGGCTGCCGAAGTCTAGTTCCCCGGTCCAACCTTAAACCTATTACGCGAGATATTATTCTAAGTGGACTGTATCTACTAATGCTTCTACACTTGTATATGCGGTACAATGCACTCGCTCTTCCCAAAAAAAAACGAACTATTATTTTGCCAAATCGATGAAAGGAATCCTGCTTGATTGGGAAAACACAAAATTGGAGCGGGTTAAAACAACTATATCAAGCAGAAAAATACTATTAGGAAAATGTTAACTCACCGGGATGTTTCTTCTATGCGGTCGAGCAATATAACTGCGACCTCTGGAACACTCCGGAGAGAGGCGGTGCGCGACTATATCTCACACGAGGTGAGGCGGGTTTCCTGGAGCTTGACTGCTTCCAGGCTAAAGCGGTTTCTACTAGATGTGTTTCCAACAACGAGCGCGGCGGGAAGAGGCCACGCGTCGGTCGCGCGTGTCTTATATATCCTCGGTTCCGATGATTACGTGATGTTCTAGAATCATCTTCTTTCCCCTCCCACCCCACCACCCCGATGTATCGATAGGAGGGTACGAATGATATCGTTTTGGAAAGGGATAACCGATTTGGCAGCCTACCGTCAAATAAAATAAATACGAATGGTTTTCCGCGCAACCAGATAACATATGCATCGATTTCTGGTTCAGGTCGTTTTGTATTCCATTTATGTCTTTGATTGAGATTCACGAGATATTCTTTATACCATCTGTTCCAGAAATCGTTGACCATTTTTTGGGTTAGCCTCCATCTTTCTAGGTTAATGACATTTTTACAAAGTGTAAAATTTTCATCTGCTAAGTTTAATAGAGGCTCACCAACCAAGACTTGGCCTGGTGTCAGTGGTAGTGGGTCATTGGGGTCATCACTTGATATTGTTATAGGACGTGAATTTAAGCAAGCTTCCACTTGTGCTAATACAGTAGTTAATTCTTGGTATGTAAGTGTACTGTTACCAATTACTTTTTTAAGATGTGTTTTTGTACTGCGCACTCCAGCCTCCCACAAACCCCCAAATTAGGCGCATGTGGAGGTATGAAGTGCCATGTGGTACGCTCTAGAGTTAACAACCCTGCTACCTTCCTTGGAATAGAAGACATGGCATTATCAAACATGTCTATTAGCTGCTTATCTGCTCCGATAAAATGTTTGCCATTGTCACTGTAAACCTCATGACAATGGCCTCTTCTTGCCGTAAATCGCCTGAAGGCTGCGATGAAACCTTTAGTCGTCATATCTGTGACAGCTTCCAGGTGTGTAACACGAGTTACCATGCAAACGAACAGACAAAGGTATCCTTTATAGGATTTAGCTCCCCTACCTGGCGAGAATCTAATATTAATGGGTCCTGCATAATCCACACCAGCTGATTTAAAAGGTCTCCTGGGTTTTAATCGCACCGCGGGTAACTGGCCCATTAATTGCACGGTATTCTTTCTCGAATATCTAATACAAATTACACACTCTCCGTAACATCTTTTTACTTGATCGTTAGCTCGCAGTATCCAATATTTTGACCTCAAGTAATTTAGCATTACTTGTGGCCCACCATGTAGCGTGTTCTGATGAGCATCCATAATTATTAATCTACTAAGATGACTCCTAGATGGTAAAATTATAGGATGCTGCGTGTCATTCACAGTTTGAGACTGTTGAAGACATCCACCAACTCTTAGAATTCCATTATCATCGAGAATAGGATAAAGATTGCGTAGTTAGTGCTCTTTTAAATTAAGCCATCTTCTACTTTTAAATTAAGCCATCTTCTACTTTTCAATTAAGCCATCTTCTACAAACATAGGTCATAGAGTCTTACCTCTAGATTGCTGGCTCGATATACCTGTAGTTGTGGTTTCACCTTTTTGTTTCTCGATCTTCTGTTCTCACTCGAAGTGCAGAAGGGAATGATGCCGCCGTCCACATCTTTTACAGCACGATGACTTACGACATTTGTTCACGGAATGAAGTGGCGCTAAACAATTAAAACATAATTTACACGTCTGTATGAATTCTTGTCTTTCTTTTACTGACATATCACCGAACTTCTTGCAGGAATATACATAATGCCCTTCACCGCACAAGGTACATTTGATTTCGTTCTTTTTCTCATCTTTGTCAACATTTGAATGGAAGACTTTAGGTTTAGCTACAGGTTTAGGTTGCACCGTTTTCGTTTTATTACTTTCTATCATTTCTAAAGTTCTGAACCTTGCTTCTAAAAAATCTCTCAATTCTAACCAAGTGGTTAGATCGCAATTAGTCGTATAAATTTGTTGTTCCCACAGCTTTATAGATTCGGAATCCAATTTCGACACAACTGAGTAGCTAATAATCATGTCCCAAGTGTCAGTCTCCACACCAACGTTCTTCAATGCCTTCAAACATGTTGAAGTTGTGTCTACTAGTTGTTTAATTAAACTCGCCGATTCTATGTTTAAAGCCTTTTGTGTAAATAAAATCTTCAAAATTGCGTTGCAGTTAAATCTCTTATTATTATAACGTTTTATCAAATGATTCCACGCTTCTTCATAGTTCGCGTCTGTCGTGGAAAAATTACGTAACAGTGCCTCCGGTTCTCGTGATAAATTAGTCTTCAAATAATGTAACTTCTGCACGGGTGATAGATACTCATTTTTGTGAATAAGAGTTCCGAACAATTCGTAAAATGTTTGCCACTCCTCATATTTCCTGTAAATGTGGGTATTTTTATCGTGGGTAACTTAACTCTTCTATTATTTATTGATTCCTGCACGTCAGAAGTTGGTGGAGATTGAGAATGCGCAGAGAGTTGAATTTTTGGTGCTTCCAAAAAAGACTGAGGAGCTTCTTTTAAAGTCGACTTATAGTCAATATAGAATTCTTCAAATTCTTCATAAATATCGTCTTTAAAATAAGAATATTCTTTTTCTTCCTCTTTAGTAATTTTCAAAAGAATACTTCTATGATCTTCTCGAAACTCTTTCCGTAATAATTCCAATTGTTCCAATCTCGTTTCCAAATAAGGTCGTTTATTTCTGTCTTTCGGTGATTTCTTATAATTATTTTCAGCATTTTTTAGACTTTGTAATAGCTTAGTTTGATAAAACAAGCTTCTCCGTCGTAATATTCTCAATGCGTACCGCTCAACAAGAAGGTAAGTAGGTACAACAGTTCACAATGACACGGTAAGTTCAACAAAATTCCTAAATACGAGGTCGGTATGTAGTAAGTAAGTATGCTTTAGTCTGTATTTTTCGAATCATAACTCGTTATGACGCGATCACTCACTGGATTTACTAAAACAATACTCAATTCGTAAACAATAGTTCCACAGAACCTACTTCAAACTGTCTTTCGAAATTCGCAACACGTTATAATGTCTATTTAAAACAATATTCACTACGATTTAACCCTTCAATTCCCATGTCCAATCTAATGCATTTTTTCAATATTTCCTATATTTATTCTATTAATAGACGTTTACTAAAGCCACAAATAAAGTTAATTTTTTTATACTGTCCCCCTCCCGTTTTATGAGGGGGGTCACCTACAGGTGACACTGGGCATTGTGTTATACGACTTATGTGGTTTTTAGCATTATTTCAGGGGAGTAAAACACAGATTTTTATTTATTTATTAGAATTTTTATTTACAAAATCGTTAAAAAAAAGAACAAATAACTAAATCTAACCAATCTTACGCCTATTTATTCTGGAACATATACCAACATTTTAGATGCAAACCGATATTACATCTACTGCACATTTTTCTAGTGCGTTGATGACAATACCCGCATCTTCGCTGTGAACAGACGACTTGTGCATGATCATCTGCAGTTCCTGCGTTTCTCACTTCATTAGGCACTCTCAGTTGCAGAGGGGCGCCACAAGCAGAATTTCGGGTCGTAGGTTTTCCGCACGTTGCTAGGTAAGTTGTCACCACATTTCGCCGGAAATCACAGTAGGACCAGTTATTATCAGACTGCCTTTTGATCAGCCATGCATTTTGGCAAGCTGCATCTAATCCAAATGCAAAGAGAGGGAACCACCATTTTTTACCCCGAAGAGCTACTCTCATAGAGTCAACATTTTCGTCAAAACGGTCGACTCCGCCCATGTATTTGTTGTACATTTTTATAACAGCTGGGCAATCAACTTGTATTTTGGACCTTTTTTTATCAACAAATCCAATTTGATCTACTTTTGTGATAGGATCTAATCCATGGCAGTTGGATAAAATGGTCACAATGTTGTTGTCATGCCATTTTGCAACAATAATCCCTTCAGATGCTTTATGATATAACTTTCCTCTGGGTTCTTTCTTCATCTCTATGGAATTTGGAAGTTTGCAGTTCTCCAAGCGATTTTCGCGAACAGTTCCAGTGCCTCCTATATTATGCTCTCGCAAATATTTTATCAAAGGCAAACCAGTAAAAAAATTATCAAAATACAAGTTATATGGTCCCAACTCTTGTGGCAATCTTTCATGAAGTTCTAAGACAACAGCGGCACCTAAGCCCAAGTCAGATTGTATCTTGAGACTGGGACCAGATGCACCCTGATAAGGCTCACAATTTACTAAATACCCATGGCGAGTAGCGGCTGACCAAAGCTTGTAACCAAATCTAATGGGTTTTCCGTGTACGTGTTGCTTGGTGCCGTGCCTCCCAAAATATGGTACTATAGTTTCGTCAATTGAAATATGAGAGGAGCCAGCTCTCCAAAAGTTTGCTGTGAAATTTTTATTCAGTTTTGTGAAATATTCTCGAACTTTAGCAAATTTATTATTGGATGGCAGAGATGTACTGTCGCAAAGATGAATATATTGCTGAATTTCGAAAAACCTATTACGCCTAATGCTAGATGCTACTAAGTCATTGTGTGTGTCAGTCACTTTTCACTTCCCAGAACATTCTCATATATTTTGGCGTCAAATACCCTGTTAGTAACAGTATCGAAATATATACTCTAATTTCCTCCGTAGTTACATTCAGAGTATGATTCCTTTGTAAGGCATAGAGATTGGACATCTCAACTACATAACTAATCAGTTCATCACTATAAAGTAATTCAAAACATTGGACAGGAGTCATCTCCTCCTGTAAGTGGGCAAAAACTTCTTCATCTCGGTCTCCTTTACCACAAGTCGTAATAGAAGCAGTGGTTTCATAATCGTGCCATTTTTTTACTGTATTTTCTTTTTTCTTCATTTTCTTTCGGGCAGGCATGGATTCTTCTTCTTCCTCGTCAAGATTTTCTCCAGACATGGAAGGGTGGTTCTGTATCTCAACTTGAGATCGAAGCATGCGATTAGGAAGATGAAGGATATTAGCTTCATTTTCATCACTACTGTCTTCATCAGTTACGTCGCCGTCGTCAGGAGGAAATAAAATTATATCACCTTGGTCTTCTTCGGCCTGCAACGCCTCGACAATCTCATCATACGTCAACCTATAATAAAAGAAAAAATTTGTATAAGCACAGCAATATGACCAACATATAACAAAGTTTTGTGTAAAAACAGTAGAAATACATAATATAATGCCCAGTGTCACCTGCAGGTGACACCGCACATTATAGGTGTTATAACAATACCACTTTTAATTTATATTTTCAATAAATACTTGTATATTATAGCTTACATATTAATTTTTAACATTTGATAAGAAAAAAACACAATACTTACGGTTTGGGCATTTTATTTTTACTTTTTCCTGCAATAGATCACAAAAACACAAGTTGATGCAATTACGCGCAAAATAACTTTGTGACATTGACAGTTGACGTATGGTGTGTGTTGCCAAATATAAAAATTGTCAAGTGGTACTCTTCGACATTACTACCATAGCGGTAGAATTAAGAAATAATATTTCCATGTGGTATAAAATAATGATTAAACTCCTGTCACCAACAGGTGATACTGGGAATTGACGAGTTAATTACGTTAAAATTCTCTGTATTGCCTTAACGCTCAGGAATGCTATTGTTATCGCGGAGTAGCTCGGTGCTCGCACTGGGCCGATCGACGACCCTAATCTGGTATGACTCAGGACCCAACGTCTAGAGCGCTAAGGTTGATTTTTATTGAGCAGGATTTTGTAATAATTAGACGTGAGGACGATACGAGGTTTTATTTTGCACTGACTTTACAGACAACATTTCTAAGCGGACTGTATGATTTTACTACTATAGATAGCTAGTTATAGGTAACATTCATTAGGTAAGTACTCGCTTTAACAAGACCTTTTAGACAGCCTAGGAGGAAAATCGGAAGAAAAATAATATACGAATTCCAATTATCTACCCCGTCTGGGGTCGATAAACGAACATGCGGTTCCACGTTTCCACCCTAGGGTGGATTTCTGAGGGTGGATAAACAGAATCTATTAATTATACACGTCGACAGTTTCCTTGACATGTTTAATACAGCCTGTTGAGTTTTTGCTCGGCCTATTTATAACGCGTATCCATTTTTCACGAAGTGCAGGTCGAGAAGGTAACCTTAAAAATGACTAAATCATTAGGTTACTTACAAACGGATCAATTCACAAAAAAAATTCGCTTTCATACAAAGTCAGTTGATCAAACGATAGATTTGTTTGAAAATTATTTTTACGATTTCGTACAAAACATTTCATTAAACTAAAATACAGACGGATATGGATTTTTTCGATTGTGGACCTAAAGACCTACCCTAACCCAAAAATTTTTTTAGTAAAAGTTATTTCAACAAAAACAGTTTTTAAACATTTTTATTTTTGAGATTTCTCAAAATCTACCGGGGAACACTTTGGAAAACTTAGTTCAATTCAGTCGGTCAAGCCGTTCAAAAGTTATTAGAGGTTTAACTGTCCACCAGTCTGGTAGACTTCGCGGTGGGATGTGGTCTAGCAGCCCATACATCTTCCAGGAGAACGGCGCCGCAGGTGTTCAGAACTGCGAAAATTTTGGTATCCTTGCCTGCCTGCCTGTTTGAATTTTCTTGATTTATTATAAATTATGTACGCGTTTGCCGTTGCTCTAGGCACCAACTGAATCAAACACAAACAACATCTTCGTCAACCATTTCATGGACTTCCTGTGATGGAATGAGTACTGGTCAACCCCGATTTTTTGGAAATTGTAATTCAAAATACTGTCAGACTTTTTGTGGAAATTGTAATTCAAAATACTGTCAGACTTAATAGCTTTTGTAGGCCTCCTTTAGCCTTAACTTGACCTCCGTCCATGACCCTGCTTTGTTGCATTCCGTTTGTCTTTCCGCTTACACTTACGTCTTTTCGCGGTGATAGAAAGCCATTTCGTGCGGTTTAAAGGCTGCTGACGCCATTGCTGCGATAAGCTACGCTGATTCGTTATCACAGTGTCAACGATGCGTGTGTTTCTGAGCCAACATAATTCATCTACAGTAGGGTTGTTGGAATATCTGTCCATGTAAACAGTTCATCGAAGTAAGGCTCGGCGAGTTCTGTGGCTATTTAGAGTGACTGTTTTTGAGATACCAATGTAAGGTTTATATTCTCAAAATCTAGTCAGTTTCAGTGTCGCACAGCAAGCGCAGTTCATGCTCACGCACTTCATGCTGTACTTGTCGGATTTGTCTTTTTTGAAAAATCGAAACTCGATTTTACTTCTGAAACCACATGTTCCCTTGTCTATTATTTATGTATATTATATATATGATAGTCAGTTCTTAACCGGGGTAGGAGCTTTCTTTACACAATTTACTGAGCTCATCGGAGTATGTATAGTCACAGCTTGAAGAAGGCGGCGTAATTCGGTTGACCCCGTACGATGTGAATCCAAAAGGATATCAAAATTTTTAAAAACTTCATTATATGAGATAAGGACACCATTAAATACAACGGGTTGTAGTAGACATTTTCTCCCAATAATTATGAGAATTTATAATTCATCGTACCATAAGTAAGGCTCCAGTCGAGAATACAAGCCACATCCTTGTTGATACTTTCAACAGTTTTGAGATCTCCAATGGTTGTTTGTAAATATATTTGAAGGTCATCTAAATATAAATGGTAGGGAGAAAATATTTTGGATGTAATCAAGAGTTAATAAAGAATGCGTATGTTATTTAAATGCCACCTTGTGGAACGCCAGCTTCGTTATCAAGCCACGAAGATAGTCTATCTTAGACAAAAATACGTTGCCGGCGCCCATACATATAACTTTGAATTGAACGCGTTGCTTGAAATCCAGCAACACCAATACTGTGACTCGATGATACTCCATACTGTAACGAATGTCGTTCGTAATTTTTAAATAACGCCGTAGTCGTACTATGACCAGTTACAAAAAGAAAAATTAAAAATACTAATGCCTATAAACTGATAAAAATTATAAACTAAACCTTTTTGTTATGTACATTAACAAAAATTGATTGCAAAAATTAAAAAAAAGAAAAAAAAAGAATACTACACATATGTCCTTCAGAACACTTGATTGAACAGTAAAAAGATAAAAAAATATAACACAAGGGACTCAAAGGTCTGAAAAAACTGTAAACCTCAGCCACAGACATCAAATATAATTATGTTTTGTGATTAGAACAGATTCATTTACGAGTACATATTAAACATTATTTATAGTCTGCGCGGAAGTGCTAGTCATCGCCTTAGGTATGCAAGCGGCGAGACGGGGGAGGACGCGATTGACAAGACGCACACGAGATATTTGAGGACAGATAAATCTCCGGATAACCATGTTAGAAACTGTCTTAATTAACATAATGGGTAAATTATTTATATTTTCCGGGCTAAACAAAAATTAACACGTATTTAAAAGCGTTAATTAGATTTTATTATTTATAATACAAAACAGTTTTCTAAACTCACCACACAAATTAAACCTAAATTACCTTACTGCGAGAATTCTATGTTCGACCTGTGGGTTCGTATCACAAATAAGGAGGTTATTAAAACCTTGCGGTGTCTAGACATGAATAAAGCTAGTGGACCAGTTGGTATACCAGCTATAGTTCTATAGCGAAATCCGTTATAGCACAAAATTAATCCATATCTTCGTCTTCTTCATTACTATACATGTCTTCAATTTCCATATCCTCCTCAGAATCTGAATCGTTTCCCAGGTTTATGATCAACTCGTCTATTACATTGTCAAACCTCATATCGTGGTCCCAATATTGGTTCTCGATTTTCTGTACGTGGTCGTCACACTTTTGCCATCTTCCCGGAGTGAATTCAGAAAACAATTTTGTGATGATTGGAATTTTGTCGTCCAATGAAGTATTTATATAATTTGTAGCTAAATTGTTCTTTATATCGGCCCACACAAGCTCAATGGGGTTGAGATCAGGATGATATGGCGGAAGGCGAAGAACGATATGACCTGAAGCCTTTAATATTTCGTCAATGACGTAAATTTTTTCGGACTGAGTTCTATTTATCAAATGAAAGAGTTCGGCTTTTGTATTATCTGGTGTAAATTCAACATTACGTTCGCGTAACCAATCTTGCATGTCCCTTTTTAAACTTGACATAGTAGGTTTTTTCTTTACCTGTACACAATGGTAGGAGGCATTGTCCATTACGACCACTGAATTAGGAGCTAGTTTATTTTTCAATTTGTGACTAACCCAGTTATGAAAATTTGTGGCATTCATATGGTAATCCCCACATTTCGAATCTGATTTGAAAATTGTTAAGGCACCGTTAACTAATCCGTCTCGGCTACCACCATGAACAATCACCAAACGACGCCCTTTGCCAATATCAGCATAAATTCCAGGCTCAGATTCGGATTGCCAACACATATTGGAGGTGTGGCTACTATTAACGTAGGTTTCGTCCAGATAATATATGTTTCGGTTTTCATTTCTATGTTTCCGTATAGCTCTTAAATACCTTACTCTCCATTCAGCAATACTGGGCCTCTCAATTAAAATGTGTCTCTTAGATTTACATTTTTTAAATAAATATCCCATCTTATGTAAAAGCTGTCGTAAATAGGTACAACCGCAGTTCACAATGCCATCTTCTTTTAAAACTGCAAGCAGCTTACGAATACTTGGGATTTTCTTATCACTAGTATAAAATTGATGAATTTTTCTTCGTATAACTCCCATGTCAAAATCATCAATCTGGATTCTCTTTTTTATTTCTTTAGGTTTCCGCGGAGATGAAAATTTTGCAATTTCCGATGTTTGTAGACTCGAATTTCCTTCAGCTACAATTCGCATTACGGTGCGGGCAGACACTCCTGTAGCCTCTGCTACTAATTTATTAATGTTCATATCATATTTGTGTTCCATACTTTCCTTGTCGCCCTTTCGTCTTAAAAAAAAACTATGTACATTATAAATAATATTTTTCACTTGTCGTGGTATTGGCGGACCCATCTTAGAATATTTATCTCGTGTATTTTTGGAGAAAACTGTCGCGTACAACTGAATCGTGTAACCGTCGCGGCGGTTGACGGCAGACTGCGTCAGCTTGATGTTTATCTACCTCCCCCGTCCTGCCGCTCACATACCTAAGGCGATGACTAGCACTTCCGCGCAGACTATAACACTACACGCTCCGTTTTGCCTGCGCAGTCCATGCCTGTGCATTCATGACTGTACGATGGCTCGCGCAAACTGGACTGTGAAAATCTTAAAGTGTTTTGAGAGCTGGTCACGTCACGATGTGGCCCGAAGAGGTTTTTTAAATGGAGCCTTATATTATTGTTTACTTGTAAAAAATCAACAAATTAAAAAGCGAAGTCGTAGAAGTAAATAGAGCAAAACGTGGTTTTTACGGAGAAACAAACATTCACATGTTAAATTCATTGAAGATTTGAGAGAAGATCCAGATGACTAGCGTGGCTATCTCAGAATGGATGAAACAGCCTATAATTAGTTACTGGACTTAGTAACACCCATAATTAAAAAAGACGATACTGGAAAGCGCCAGTCTATATCTCCTTATGAAAGATTAACCTGTATGTTAACGTTTTTAGTAACTGGGAATACTTACAGAGATCTAAAATACACAGCAGCAATTTTTCATCAAGCATTGTCTAAAATTATTCCGGACACATGTAAAGCTATCACGTTCTATACGTAGAATACATGAAGGTAATAAAAAATAAAAATATAAATTACTTTGCAACCTTCCGCTAAATAAATACAATGATGTGTCTTACCTGGAATGAAGAGCACCTCCCGCCCTCCCTCAATTGCATGCACTTACTCCGTCACCACTACTCCCAACATCACTATTCCAGGTAAGACACACCATCGACGTTAATACGACACGTGTTTCGCCTCTACACGAGGCATCCTCAGCTGACCGCTAAGTTTCACTTAGCGGTCAGCCGCCGTCCAAGTAAGACACATCATTGTATTTATTTAGAGGAAGGTTACCTCCTTCGCTAGCATCACTGCTTCGCAGAAGGTGGTGACGTCATCCCATTCCGTCTCGCTCCGGACCATGGCTTCGACCAGGGCCGGACGCGAGAGGTCGCCGCCGCCTATCGCCGCTACGAGGACACGGCGGTGCTCCGCCCAAGCAGGGCACACCTCCACGGTGTGTTCCACCGTGTCCTCCGGTCCATCCTCGCAGTGGGAGCACCCGGGCGTTTCCTCCCGCCCGATTCGGTGCAGGAACCTCCCGAACACACCGTGTCCGGTAAGGACCTGCGTCAGGCGGAAGGTGAGGATGCCGTGGCGTCTCTCAAGCCACTCCTCAAAGAGGGGTCTTATCGCCGCTATAGTGGCGTGCCCAGCACGGGGTTGCGACAGTCGCTGTCTCCATGTCGCCATGAGATCGTGCCGGAAGTCTGTCCGCTGCGCGACAACTTGCCGCGGCAGCGGGGTTTCCCTACGGCATAGTGCCTCCGCGCGCCATTCGTGCAGGCGCGCGAGGACTATCGCCTCCAGATCCCATGGTGGCAATCCGGCAAGGAGGCTCGCCGTCTCGCGGGAGATCGTGCGGTAGCCGCGAACCATCTTCACGGCAACCACCCTTTGGGGCGCGTTCAGGTGGTGGACGGCAAGCCGCGCCAAACCACGCGCCCACACCGGGGCCCCGTAAAGGGCCATGGACCGCACGATCCCCACGTAAAGGAAGGTGGCGTTTGGCCCTCCCAGGTTCGGCAGGAGCCGCCTGAAGGCAGTCCCGGTCGTTAGAAGTGTAGGATCGGCCGTCGAGGACGAGTCCTAGGTACTTCAGCGTCGACTCGACGCCGATGGATACCCCTCCTACCATCACTGAGGATCCCGGTGGTGGGCTGTTCCGAGAACCATGGAAGTGCATGGCCTCGGACTTGTGCAGAGCCACCTCGAGACCCAGTTGCCAAATCCTCTCAACGACTATCGCAACCCCGCGTGTCATAGTTTCCGCCGCCGCCTCGTACGACCCCCCCTTGTGCCAGTACCAGCGTGTCGTCAGCGTAGCAAACTACGCAGACGCCGGTAGGGAGGTCGGCGCGCAGCACCCAGTCGTAACCGATGTTCCACAGAGGTGGCCCCAGAACCGAACCCTGTGGGACACCGCACGACATCTCTCGCCGGTTCCACTCACCGTTGCGACCGGGGTAGATGACGGCCCTGTCCGTCAGATAGTCCCCGACTATACGACGGAGATAGGTCGGCACGCGGTGATACCGGAGTGCCTCCCTAATGCAGCTCCAGGGCATGGAGTTGAAGGCGTTGGCGATGTCGAGAGACACCGCCAAGACAACCCCCCCTCTGGCCACTGCATCCCCCGTCGTGAGGGCTCTCACGCGCATGACGGCGTCCACCGTAGAGCGCCTCTTGCGGAAACCAAACTGGTGTTCCGCAAGATCCGGCCCCGTCCCCGCAAGGTGCTCGGCGAGGCGGTTTGCAATGACTCTTTCAAAGAGCTTGCCCACCTCGTCGAGCAGCACCACGGGCCGGTATGCGGACGGAGAGTCCGCAGGGCGCCCCGGCTTCCGAATGAGGACCAGCTTCCCCGTCTTCCAACGAAGCGGGAATTGGCCTCTCTCCAAGCATGCGCTTAGGAGCCCCTCCAGTCGGGGCCCGAGAGCCTCCGAGGCCAGGACCCAGGCTTTGCCAGGCAAGCCATCGGGTCCTGGGGCGGTATTCCTGGCCTTGAGCCTACGTACCGCCACTCTCAGGTCTACCCCGGTCCCTTCCGGGATGTCGTCGTCGTCGTTCTGGTGATCCGCTTCCGGCACCGCGGGTGGCGGAGCCATAGGCGGGGGCGGATGTTCCCCACGCGCAGGGAACAGAGCGCTCACCACGTCCTCCACGAGCTGGGGCCGGAGACTTTGCGTCAGCTGGGGGGCCCAGGTGCGGAGTTTATCCCGCACCATCTTGTAAGGGCGCCCCCACGGATCTCTGTCGAGAGTCTCCAGCATCTCCTCACGGGCCCGATCCCGGGCCCGTAGGACAGCCTCCCGGAGGGCGGTCTTCGCCGCTCTGTATCCCTCGTACAGCTCTGCCTCAATGGCTGCCGCATTCGGTGGACGAATGCGGAGCCTGCGATGCCTGGCGTACAGGTGCCGCGCGGCGACACACGCCTCGCGCAGAGACGTCAGCTCACGCTACCACCAATACACCTGACGCCGGGCGCTTCCTGGCCGGACGCGGGGCATTGCTACGTCACATATCTCGGACATGGCCTCCTGGAACCACCCTGTCTCATCATGGACGTCGGCAGGCCTGTCCGGTGATGACACCCAGGCCTGCACGATCGAGGCTTCCAGGAGGAGCTCCCGGTCCAGCTGCTTCAGCGCCCAACGCGGACCACTCGGGGCCTGTTGGACTGGCGCGCTCGAGGGCTGGGTGGAGACGTCAAACCGGATGTACCGGTGGTCGGAGTAGGTCTCCACCCCCTCCATGACACGCCAGTCAATGGCACGCGGCGACAGAGTGGGGCTAGCGAACGAGATGTCCACCATCGACTCGCCCCGCATCCGCGCACACGTGAGGACAGAACCCCGATTTAGGACGACCAGGCCTGTCTCCAGAGCCCAGTCTTCCACCATCCTACCCCGCACATCTGTACGACGAGAACCCCAAGCCAAGTTCTTGGCATTGAAGTCCCCGAGGACAAGTACGGGGGAGGGGATAACTTCCGACGACGACTGCTCTCAGCTCTGCAAGAGAGTTGTGGAGCTCGGCGAGAGATCGGACCGTGACCCCGAACCGTGCTGCTACGCACCCCTGACCCCTTATGACACCTTCAAGGGTCGGGGTACCGGCGGCGGCCGAAGAGATGATGGCCACTGAGCCGTTAAGGTCCGCCACCCAGTCCTCCCTAGGCCAGACAAAATACGGCTCAGCGACCACAGCGATGTTAATCGACCACTGCGCCATGCTCTGGAGCAACAGATCCTGAGCGCAGGCGCAGTGGTTGATATTCGCCTGGAGGAAGCTTAATGGGGCCGTTATAGGCATTCCATTTCAGCTTCCTCCACGGGGGGCCCCTCTGCGGGCGTATTTGTCGCGGGGGCGGCGGCGGGGAGCGTGACAGCGGTGGCGGCGGCAGTTGCGGCTGCGGCGGAGGCCACAGAGGCGGTAGCGGCCTTGGCCCCTACCCTACCCGCGGCCTTGGCCTTGGCGGGTGGCACGCAGGCCTTGCTTCCGGCTCGGTGATCGGTTGACTTGCCAGTCGCCGCACATGCATCACAGTGCGGCGTGGCGCAGCAGGTCGCCGATATGTGTCCGGGCTGACAGCAGCGGAAGCAAAGGCCACTGCGGTCAACCTCCGAGGCGCATCTCACTGATACGTGGTGCCCCACGAGACAGCGATAGCACCTCAGAGGTCTGGGCTCCAGCAGCTTAACCTGCGCTGAGACCCAGCCCACCAGAAGCCTTCGGCCCTCCACTATGGTTTTGGCCGCCGTAACAGGGCAGCACACCGTGGCGGCATGCATACCCTGTTGGTCCGGGCGTATGGCGCATGACCTGACTGGTCAGTAGTGCACCCCCCGGACCTGGCGACGGCGGCCACCAACTCCTCCTCCGATACCGAGTCGTCCAGACCCATGATGCGCAGGTCTGCGCATCTGACGGGCCTGGACACTCGGGCCTCGTCCGCGTCCAGAGACGCTCTGAGCTTCGCAGCCAGAGCGTCCGCGGTCGCGCCACTGGATTCCCCCGGGGACCTCCAGCATACGGGCCCCCGTCTGGGTGACTTTGAGCCGGAGGCCCCCGGTGATCCCGAGCTCCCCGAGATCCACCGCCTCCTTCGCCTTCGCGAGCAGATCGCGGTAGGTAACGCCCTTCTTTTCCGCGTCCGGCTGTAGTGTAATCACTACAGCTGCGGTCTTCGGGGCGTGGAGCCTAGCCGCGATCTTGCGCGCCCTGAACTGGCGCTGCCGCTCCTGCTCTTTGGCCTTTTTGGCTGCCTTCTTCCCCTTCTTTTTGTCCCCGACCACCTGCCAACCGGCTTCAGCCGCGGGAGGGGTGGGGCTGGTGCAGCCCCACCTGTGCTGCCGCCTTGCCCTTTTTCGCCTTCGTCTTGCCTCTCTTTCCCGTCGCCGGCTTAGCCGGAGCCGGTTCAGTCGGTACCGGTTTTGCCGGAGCCGGCTTTTCAGGGGGGGGAGGAGCAACTGCAGCCCCGCCCGAGGGCTGGCTGGACGGCCCCGGCCTGGATGCGGCAGCCGTGGCCGCCGCGTACGTTGCCGGCCTCGCCGCCGTCTTGTTTGCCCCTAGGGGGGGGGGCGCAGGACGATGCCCTCCAGCACGGAGAACCGGTGAGGAAGGCAGCCAGCTCCTGCCGGACCAGGTTCAGAACCTGGTTCTCCACCGGCACGGGCTGGCTTGGGCGCTGCGTCTGGGGCGCCGCGCGAGAGGCAGGCTCACGTAGACTGGCCAGGTCTGCGCGGAGCTGCTCGTTCTCCTTCTGGAGAGTCTCCATGGCAGACGTCATGCGGGCCACGTCCGCCCGCAGCTTCGCCACCTCATCCGCATTAGGCCCGGCCCCAACAAAGTTGGCCTCCGCAGCCGCCATGATGGAGGCGGAGGCCCCGGGAATGGCCTTGAACTTTGAGGAGGGCTTTTGCTTGTAGGCCACGACCTTGATCGCGGCCTCCACCTCCTTTACGAATCTGGCCTTACGCTCCACCTCGGAGCCGCCAGTCGCACTCGTCTCTTCGCCTGATACCCGAGCCGTATCGCCCGCGTGGCGCCCCTCCTCGGCAAGCTTTGCCGCTCGTTCGGCCATCTGATTGTCAGAGAGCCCCCCTCCCCTTGCCTCTCAGCCCGCCCCGCCTGTTGGTGGGGATTTTCCGGGCCGAAACCTCCTCTTCACCGGATGACGGCCCCTGGTCGCCATCCCGCCTGGACCGCTTGCGGAAGAACTTACTGGTCTCCGCGGTCCCAGGCCCCACGCGTCGGGAGCTCTCTGAGCCTCCCACGCTGCTCGATGCGGCGTCGGACTCTGTCCCCGCATCGTTCCTCCTCTCTTCTACGTTGCCGTTGCCGGCGGTTTTGTTTTTTTTTTGTTTTTGTTGGTTTTCCATTTTGTACCCACGAGTATGGGGGAATTAAAGGTCCACCTTGGCAGAGACCCCTGTACCAAGGTTAGCAGATTTAGAGGATTTATTACTCGCCAGAGGGGGTCTGTAGGTACCCTGGCGAGGAGCGCACTAGCGGCTGATTTGTTCATAGAACCCCGTCAGCCATCCATCCCGTCGCGGTGCGTCGCCGCTTGGGATTCGGAGTAACTTTTTATAGAGGTTTTCTCCCTCGCGGTCCGGGCGATTAAGCCAAGACCCTCGGTCCCTATCAAAGCCGCGAGACTTGATCCACGACACTTCGATACTGGGATTACGAGACCGGCGGTGACAGCAAAGGATGAATCCTTCACTGTCTGCCCGGAGGCAGGGTAAGTGCACACCGAGCCCGCCCTCGCTCCTCTGCTATGCCCTCTGCTGATCAGAGGGTCACGCAGAGGAACGCACTGTTGGTCCGGGACGGACCCCCCCCCATATCAGAATAATTAGCCGCGGCTGCAACATTCCCCAAGGAATAAGAATTTCTTCTCATTTCTCGAGGAAGATTACCGCCGCGCGCAGGGTGCACCGGTCCAGTAGCTGCTCTTCCCTCCAGACGTATCGACAGGGACCCGCAACTACCAGATTCCAAATTTGCAGGAAGAATGAAAGCAGATAGCATAGGAGTTTGAAGAGAGATGGAATTTTCGCCATTCCTTAGGCGCCGCGAATGGAAAACATGTGCGGATTATTCCACCAGAAGTACAGGGTTCCTATTATTATAATTATAAAGGATTTCACAGTATGGTTTTGATGGCAGTTGTAAGTGCTAACTATGAATTCATAATATCAGAATTTGACGTGAATGAGATAATTTCTGATAGAGGTGTTATAGAACAAACAATATTTTACAATAAATTGAAAGATAATACATTACACATTACGGACAAGATCGTCTCACTAGTTCAGATAAAACGCTAAATTAAAACCTTTGCCTTAACGTTACATTTTTAAAACCTTTTAGTCAAAGAGAACTAACAAATGAACGTAAAATATATAATTACCGTCTATCAAGGGCAAAGCGAATCGTAAATAATGCGTTTGATATTTTAGCTAATAAATTTTGAATTTTTCATACCAGCTATAAACCATAGATACCATTGTCGTGACATGTTTTACACTCCATAACTTTTTGAGAAGAAAATATGCTTCAACGTATACTCCTATTTTAAGCCTGGATAATAACAATAGTAACGGCTTGAGAACAGATGAGTACAATGTAATTGATATACAGACAGACATTACAAAAGCATTTCCAGAGACGTCAAGCAGACTAGGGAACAATTTTTACGTTATTTTAATAATGAAGCTGTGAGTGTATCGTGGCAAAACAGTATGGTGTAATTTACTATGATTGTCAAATTTAACTGGCGATCTACCTCGTACCCAACTTGAGATATCTCAATTAAACTTACCTATGAATATTAACTTTGCAGATCCTAACTTCCTCCAACCTACTCCTGTAGATCTACTCATTGGAACCGATGTATTTCGGCAATTAATATTAGGCCAACAGATCACTCTAGGCTGTAAGACACCTATAGTCACAGATACAAGGTTTGGTTGGTTATTAGCTAGCCCAATTTTTTCAAAATCTGTTAGCAAGGCTAATGTTCGTAGCATATAAACTTACTTGTCTCTTGAAGAGCAAATTACTAAATTTTGGCAGGTTGAGAATATCCCTGAATCTAATAAGATATTATCCAATTCTGATATAGAATGTGAGAAGAACTTTTCAGAAAATATTCGTCGCATTGACGATGGTAGGTTTTGTGTTCGACTACCACTTATTTCTGAACCTGATTGTTTAGGCGATTCTTATCAGTTAGTCAAAAGGTACCTCCTAGGTTTAGAATGACGTTTTAGAAAAAAATCAGATTTAAAATTAATGTTTTCTGATTTTATACGTCAATATCCAGATCTTGTACATCTTTCAGAAGCTACTGAAGTTATTTCATCTCCGGCTTACTTCATCCCGCACCATGCAGTGATCAAACCGGACAGGGAGTCGACTAAACATCGCGTTGTCCTCGAGTTACCTTGCTTCTCTATTAACGACCTCAATATGGTGGGGCCTCCTATACAGGATTCCTTATTTAATATTATACTCGGATTTCGTCTTTATAAATATGTACTCTCCATAGAAGGAGACATAGAAAAAATGTACCGACAAGTTTTAATTGGCCCCAGAGATCGTAATTTACAGTTAATTTTATGTCGCTAAAGTGAAAGAGAGCCCATCCGAATATTACATATTACGTCTTAATCCTACGGTTTCGCGAGCGCAAGCTTTCAAGTACCCGCTGCCCGTGGAAGCTAGGAGAGGAATGTCAGGATGATAAAATTAAAACTATAATTTAAAACGACTTCTTACTCGATGATTTACTTACTGGTTCAGATTCTCCCTAAGAATTACGTTTATTAAAGAAACCGTAGAGTCCGTTTTATTTAGTGGTGGGTTTAACTTGCGAAAGTACTGATGTAACTGACCATCAGTTTTATTTAAGCCTTATGAAGCTGACATTCAGAAAAATTTTGTGATAAGCTGTTCTTCTAGCATTTTAGGTGTCGATTGAAATCATAACGAAGATTTTATAAATTTCCCCACTAACTATAATATTCAATATGAAAATCCAACTAAAGGATCAATCCTTTCCGATTCATGTAAGGTGTCCAACCCTCTGGGTCTTCTTAGTCCACTCACTATAAAACCTAAAATTCTAATTCAAAGATTGGGGTTATCCAAAGTCAACTTGGATGACCCAGTGCCCGGTACTATCAAACATGAGTGGCTCTACTTCGTACAAAAATTAGCTAGCTTACTTACCTTGGGAATTCCCAGGCATGTCATGGGTGATTTTACTACGTCTGTCGAGCTTTATTGTATTTGCGATGCATCGCAAGCCGCATACGCCGCGTGCATCTATTTTAAATCTACGAATGATGACAGTCAAAATTCAGCTGCTATGCGCTAAGACCCGAGTCGCGCCTACTAAACCTAACACCATACCGTGCTTGCAGCTCCGCACCGCCCTTCTGGGTGCTCAGCTGGCATCCGCCGTCACTAATGCTATGCGTGTGCCTATATCTTAACACTATTACTCGAGGGACTCATCCATAGTAGCATGCATTCTAATAGGGACAAAACATGTATTTTTTTATATGAAAACAAATTTATCGAAATAAAAATAAAGATACCCTTTTTATCCGGGTTCATCGTATTTTTATATACAACATGTAACAAAATCCCTAAGGTTTGCATTAACTGCGTTATCAGAATCTGTGTCCAAGCGTATATATTTAAAAAAAAAATAATTTTAATGAAAAAAAATTTGCAAATTGTATGTGGTTTTATTTTCTCTAGCTTACACGAGTATCGTCTCAGGAGTATCGAGTTACTCCTCGCACCCATAACACATTTTATCTAATAATATCTGTTTTATTTAACAGACCGTTTAATGTGTATTTCTAGTTTTAATATGTGCTTCATTGTACCTATGTTCAGCTTCAGAAACTGGATTCAGAACAGGTGTTAACAAATATGGCCTGTTTGGATAGGCACTATCTCCAAGTAACCAGCGATTTCCGAATTGGCCTGCATCACATTCAACGGTTAAAATAAAGAATATTAGGCTCTGGCAGAAATTATTCAAATTTATTGCAATTTGAATACATGTTATTTGCACCTCCCTCTCAGAATAAAGTTATTAAATATAGTTGCATCATGCGTTCATCATGCGAAAACCAGGCCAATGAGCCACAACATTTATAAATTTTAAATCTGCATCACAAACACCTTGAACATTTAAAGAAAAATAACCCTTCCGATTTCTGTATTCTTCACCTATTAAATGGCCTAAAATAAATAACATTTTTTTAGGCCATTTAATAGGTGAACACAACGGGGGACTGCCCCCGCTGACCATGGGCGCTGTAAAGCACCCAAAACGTCGGGATAATAATAAAAATAAGTTAAAGTAATTAAACGCGATAAAATCCGTAAATAATAGTTTTATTCAATAAATAAACATTATTATTAGCAACTTCATAGTTTAATCAAATTAGCCAACATTTTAAGAAGAGTTAAGTATAGTTACTTACATGGAGACTGTGTGCGGATATGTGTGCCATCAATTGCCCCAAGCACACAAGGAAATCCAGCAATTCTATAGAATTTGTCTGCACATCCTTGCGATGAGCGACATTATATTTATCATATAATTGCGCAATAGCTGATGATGTGTCTTGCACTATTCTGCCTGCTGTAGATTTTGACACTCCAACAAAATCTGCTACGGATATCAACATTGTGCCTAGTGCATAAAACTGTAGGGTCAACAAAAGTTGATGCAATGGTGATACTCCGTAATTTCTGCAAAGGATTACATAAAATGGAGTATATTATATAGATTGTAAAAAAATTATCTAGTTTACTAAAGATCAGCTTTGCTTTACCTCGTGGATGTTACCCGACGGGTAACCCGTAATAACGGGGTTATTTCTAACAATAAAGAGTTGAACGCATGTTTGTTCACTCGAAACCTAAAGGTAAAATCACCGTCATCGAGACTTTGCGTATAGTTCACTCTTCTGATTCTTCTGATTCTGAAGAATATTGAGATTTCCCCAACATTCTTGCCAAGACCATATCGCCATGACAATAAAACTAATATATTCCCAATAATTTTGTTAAAATATATAAATGTAAATATACACTATTAAAACCACCACTAAAAGTTCAAGAAATTTTAAAAATCTTTAAGGAATTGTTGTATTTTAAAAATCCCGCTTGTCGCTGTGATATAAAATATCCAATTGAAAATAGTCCCTAAGTTCTGTACAACAGAGAATGAATACCCGTCAAACGCTCTTTTCGGTTAATTCCATACTTACGATACGAATAATACAGATATTCGTCACGAATAACAGCAAGCGATTGATATTATCCGACCTGATGTTGATCGGTCAGTGTATAAATGAAGTGAATATGGAATATTAGCATATCAGAATCCGTTGCATTACTTATCTATGAATACATGAAATATTACTAATATCTTAACAGTTACGAATATATCGGTTACATCTTTACCTGTGTGTTAAGTTCGCATCTATACGCAGCGACTTCAATCGATGCCGACTCACTGGCGACTTATGACTTTTGTGTCTACATTATATGGATTTATCAGTATTCATTTCGCAGTATACGTGCATACCGGTGATGTCTAAAGAAAAGCGTCGCATGTTGCTAGCCCTAGCAGCCGTTTGCATATATGACAAAGAGAAAAAAAAAGAAAAATAGAAGATTTTGGGCGAAAAAATGGTTACCTTAAAGATCAAGATATTCACATGTAAATTTAATTACTGAGTTAGCACTACAAGAACCGAATGATTTTAGAAACTATTTACGTATGGACCCTTGTACATATCAACATTTGTTGTCTCTGTTGGAACCAATGCTAACAAAAAACAGGATACGTGCATGAGAAAAGCGATAACAGCTCACGAACGATTATTAGCTACATTGCGATTTCTAGCAACTGGACGAACTTATCAGGACTTACAATACAGCGTTGCAATATCTAAGCAAGCTCTAAGCAAGATCGTTCCAGAAACATGTGATGCGATCATAGCTACATTACAAGAAGAATATTTAAAAGTGTGTTAAAAGTACATTTTAAACAACTTTGTTGGTAAGTATATATTGTTATTATCCACTAAAAATAAACACTTTATGGTTTAAAATGATTATAATACATAGTAACACTTTGAGATGGTGTTTTGGAGTTGGGCAATTGGGTTTCTACGATTTCTGATAGCTGATTGTTCATCTGCTGGGGAACGTGAATTAGCTGGCCACTCACGGGATCTATCAAAAGGCTTTGTGAAAAAGTATCATAATCGGTAACATTTGAATTATGGACACTTGAACATTTTCATTCTGAGAAACTGATTGTGTATTATTATTATTAATATCAATACGACTTTGACGACAGAGAGAATTCATACGTGCTTCAAACAAAACTTCGTTGATTAATTTCTCCGATAAATTTGTTGATTATTTGGTAAACTCTTTAAGATACCAAGCCCATGATTTTGCTGTATGTTCCCAGCGGTCTGTCGGAGTAGGTTTGCTGAGATGGACATTAATTTTACTAAGAATATCTTCTCTTGGCCTCTTCTTTTTTATTACTACCACGAGATGTCTTTATAGATGCTGTTGAGGGAGCGGGTGATTGCGTTGACCCCGAAAATAAATCAGAATCTTCATCAACATTTCTATTTCCTTCTAAATCTTCACCTACTATGGTACCTGAATTCAAAAATATTAATTAATATAAGTATCATTTTTTTACAATTTACTGAAACTGAAAAAGAATGGATCCACATAGCAAATACCTTTGAAGAAAGGTGGCAATTTCCTCATTGCTTAGGAGCTATAGACGGGAAACATGTAAAAATTGTGCCACCAGCTAATAGTGGGTCATACTATATATATTTTACTTTATATATTTTATTTTACTTATATAAATTTTAATTATAAAAAGGATTTCAGCATTGTTTTATTAGCAATAGCAAATACAAATTATGAATTTATGATGGTGGATATAGGAATTAATTGTCGAATATCTTATGGTGGAGTTATTAATAGAAGTATATTTTATGAGAAACTGAACTCAGGATCGTTAAATATTCCTAAGGCAGCAATGATAATAAATAGTGAAACTATTTTGCCTTACGTCTTCGTGGGGGATGACGCTTTTTCTGTACGCCCATACTTAATGAAACCTTTTCCAGATAAATATTTAAGCCCTCAACAAAGAATATTCAATTACGGGCTATCAAGAGCCCGTTGCATTATTGAAAACGTCTTTGCTATATTAGTCAATCGATTTCGAATTTTCAAAACTTCAATCAATTTAGACTTGCAAACCATTGATAAAATAGTAATGGCGTCATGTATATTACATGACTTTTTACGTCGAACATGTAATGAATATATCAGAGTTGGTGTGTATATTGAAAATGTGGATGATGGAACCATTAATATAGGCTACGGAGTCAACAATGAATTGTTAAATTTACAAGTAACAAATCAAGGTCAAAGTCAAACCATTGCTAGACATGTTTGAGAACAATATATTCAATAATGAGGGTTGTGTTTCGTGGCAAAACCATTTTACTAATATAAATACAATACAGTAGTTGATAATAATAATATCAATAAATAAATATTATAAATTATAAATAGTGTTTTTATTTCATCAACTTACCCGAATATTGTTTCCTGTTTTAATATTAGTTGTTGAACTTCTAGTTGTTTCTTGATCCTTCAAGAAGTTGAGTAAATCGTAATACCATATTGATGGTGTAGGGATATCTTCTACAGCCATTCCGGATTTCAAGCTTTTTTTCGATTTTATCGTATTGTCTTCGCCAAAACGTATTTTTAATTTTTTTACCACAAAATCCCGATCAGCATTTGGCTCCAGTTCTTAAATTTTTCGACTAAAATATCATAACTTCGCGACTTCAAATCTCTGTTTGAGTAATCTTTATTCTTAACCATCCATAATAAAGGTAAATCCCGGTATAATTCTATAAATTCAGTCACAAAAGACTGAGAGTATTTACGTAGGTCCACCACTTTAAAATCGCGTACGTGTCCACGCTGCAACGATGTCGCTGGCGACTATCATGCGACTTCGACTTTTCAGATTTACAGCGATTCGATCGCCACAATTGACAGCGACAATAAATCGCGGCTAAGGTCACGTCCACACACTGATTTAAACATCGCCAGCGAGTCACTATTGAACAAAGTCGCTGCCGTGTGGACCCTAGTTTACTTTATAGTCTGTGATTTATGTGAATTTGTGAATCATAGAAATTGAAAAATGGTGTCGAGTTTTGTGTTAAATTTATATTCTAATTATTTTTTAAGTAGAGAATAGTTAAAGTAAATGAATAAAATGAGTATAGCGCAGATTAGATTGAACCTTATCAAAGAACAGGTGGAATCTTGTAAAGAAGTTTTAATAAGTTTAAAATTGGAAAAAAGACGCCATGAGGAAATAGAGGTTTCATAGAAGTTGTTGAAATGTAAAAATGAATAGAGATAAAATGAATGTCACATATTCTTACGGCAAATCGAAGAACAAAGTTAGATCCAGCGGCATACTAATTTGCGATTAGAAATAGAGCAAGTAATTGTTGAATTTGAAGATTACATAAAATTATTAAAATTAGACCAAAGTACAGAAAATGTCGCAAGCCGTTTACCAAAATTAGAACTGCTTAAATTTCATGGAGATGTGCTTCGGTGGCAAGAATTTTGGGATAGGTTTTATTCTAGCATACATGTTAAACTAATTAGGAATGTTGACAAGCTAGCATACCTTCAAAGTTGTTTGGAAGGAGAGGCGAAAGATGCTGTAGCGGGTTTGGAGATAACTAATGACAACTATGAAATAGCATTGATTCACTTTTTGAAGGACAGGTTTGGAAGTAAAGCAATCGTAGTTGATGCCCATTATAAAGAACTTTATCATATGCAAGCTAAAAACTCGTCAATTAAAGAAAGTCGAAGAAAATTGAATGAGATTGACAGAAACTTGAGAGTGTTACAGTCTTTGGGAGAAAATGTGATAGGGGCTTACTTGAGAAAGGTTATAATAGAGAAGTTTTCAGAAGATATACGTATGGAACTAATACTTAAAATGTCTAAGGAAGATGAGTCGGTACAGTGCATCCGTAAACATCTGGAACACTTGATAAATACAAAGATGGAAACTTCACACAATTTAGTCGCTAACCAGTATGCTTCTTGTAGTGCCAACGAGATTGCTTCGCTCTCTACATTACTAATGAGGCAAAAGGGAAGACATATTAAATCAAGCACAAACCTTAAAAATCAAAGAGCTGTGCAGAAAAAGGGGTCAAAGAGGAGGTTGGTTATCAGACGAGATGAGCATCAAGAAAGAAAGAGGTTGGCCTTCATATTCTTTCTTGCAGATCATTTTAATGATGAGTGTAAGGCTTACAACAATATAAAGAAGAGAAGAAAGGAAAAGACAATTAAAGGGTCGTTGTTACTTATGTTTTAAAAATAATCAGTGTTAAAGTGTGTCAAAATAAATTTACATGTTAACACTGTGGAGAGTGACTCAATAGAGCCTAGTGCCCTAGGAATTTACAAAAGAATAAACTCCATGCTGCAGTTGCAACTGAGAAAGAAACCATGGGTTAAACATTACATTAGCTGATGATGGTTCATTAGAAGAAGAAATTCATTTGTTGATTGACTATGACTTCTACTTCTCCTTTATAAATAGCCGTAAGATTTTAATTCATCATCATCATCATTACAGCCCTTCACAAGTCCACTGCTGAACATAGGCCTCCCCCAAGTAATGCCACAAAGCACGGTCCTGAGCCACTTCCATCCATCGACTTCCTGCATGTCTTACCAGGTCGGCATTCCATCTAGTGGGAGGTCGCCCCACCCTACGCCTACCGGTACGAGGCTGCCACTCGAGAACCTTTCTTTCCAATCGGTTATCGGTTCTTCGAGCTATATGGCCGGCCCATTGCCACTTCAGCTTACTAATCCGTTGGGCTACGTCTGTTACTCTGGTTTTACTGCGGATATCCTCATTTCTGAGTCTATCACGCAGAGAAACTCCGAGCATAGCCCTCTTCATAGCTCGCTGAGCGACCTTGAGCGTCCTCATACGGCCAGCAGTGAAGGACCACGTCTCTGATCCGTAAGTCATCACTGGCAACACGCACTGGTTGTACACTTTAGTTTTCAGAGATTGAGGTATACCTGACGAGAAGATGAGCTCTATATCACTTTTATTTTCTAACTTACAAGTTAACTTAACTACTGTGACAATGTGAGTACACAGGCATACTAGACTACTTACAAACTAACTTAATTACTACTGCCTTTCTTAACAATTAAACATCACACATTAAAGTCATCACTAGCAACACGCACTGGTACAACCAGTGCGTTTTGCTAGTGATGACTTTAGTTTTCAGAGATTGAGGTATACCTGATGAAGAAGATGTGTCGTAATTTCCCAAACGCTGCCCAGCCGAGTTGAATCCGTCCTTTGACCTCTCGGTCGAAGTTTCAATTAATGACAATTTATATCTCATTGAAACAGACTTTGGTTGGGTATGGTCTGGCAAAGTTATTGATGAATCGGATCATGTTCTCTCTATTATTTCATTTTTAAATACATATTTATAATACATAGGAATAATATCTTTTTCAATGTTACTTGAATACTCACTGTCACTGTCACTTTCGTCACTATCAATGCCAACCCACAATAAAAAAACGATCACTTCCTTCAACTATTATTTTATCTTTCACTATGTACTCATCTTCAATTTTTATATCATGCGAGCATTCTTTTTTCCAAAGCTCTTCGCTTATTGAGCTTAACGTTTCTTTTAAGGGTCTCAGTAAGAGTGCACTTTTTCATTTTAAAATAAAAACAAGTATTTTATGACAGAGTTGTGATATTTTTATTGTTTTTTTTTTTTTTTTTTTATAGAATAGGGTGACAAGCGAGCACACAGTCCACCTGATGGTAAGTGGTTGCTGCGGCCCATAGACATCTACATCTATCCTCCATTAAAAATCAAAATGCAGATGCGTTGTCACCCGTGAGGACTGAGATGGAATGCCTCGTTTCCAGTAAAAAGGGTCTCCGGTTCTCTACACTCACCATACGAAATACAGCAGCATTAAGCTACTATTTCACGCTGGTATTCTGTGAGAGCGTGGTCCTTCCCCGGTCGAGCCGACCCATTCGTGCTACAACTATACTACTAATATAACTGCAGCATGGCTCTACCACGTAATATTGTATTGTAAAGAAGACATGTTCCGATTAAGTATGGAATAAAATATCTGGCAAATGACCCCCACGGCTCCGATGACAGGCCATTATTCTTTTCATGAAATTTTCCATGACTTTTGCACAGAGATGTGGCTGTATCTCACCGATGACGCGTTGGATTTCCGATTTGAGCTCAGGAATTGTTTCGGGTTTATTCGTATAAACCCGAGATTTCGCAAAACCCCAAAGAAAAAAATCGCACGGCGTTAAATCGCACGATCTTGGTGGCCAGTTGACAACAGAGTTTCGTGAGATAATGTGTTCTGGAAATCGTTGCTGCAATAAGTCGATTGTTTCATGCGCGGTGTGGCAGGTTGCGCCGTCCTGCTGAAACCACATGTTGTCCAGATCCATGCCGTCCAGTTGAGGCCATAAGAAGTCCGTTATCATATTCCTGTAACGAATGTCGTTCACAGTCACTGCAATTTCGGCCTCATTTTCAAAAAAGTAAGGTCCAATCAAGCCGCCTGACCAAAATCCGCACCAGACAGTTACTCGTTGTGGGTGCATTTGTTTCTCATGGATTGCATGAGGATTTTCTGAGTCCCAAATTCGACAATTTTGTGTATTCACGAAGCCATCCATATGGAAATGCGCTTCATCGGAGAAAATGACTTTTTCCGAAAAATTGGTATCGACTTCACTTTGCTCTATTACCCATTGAACGAATTGCCGGCGCTTTCCGTGGTCTGCTGGTTTGAGCTCCTGAGTTAACTGAATCTTGTACGCATGAAGGTGGAGGTCTTTAGTCAAAATTCGCTGCCTAGTGCTTCGTGAAATTTGAAGTTGTTGAGAACGATGTCGAATTGATGTTTTCGGGTTTTCGGCAACCCTCTCGTTTACAGCAGCAATGTTTTCAAGAGACCGACCGGTACGTTGACGCAAAGGATTCTTATTATCCATAATTGACCCAGTTTCTTCAAATTTTTTAACCACTCTTTGAATGGTTGACACATTAGATGCACTTTCTCGGCTGAAAATTTGGCGAAGTTTGCAAGCAGTTTCAACGTAACTTTCCCCATTTATGTAATGAGTTTTCACAATTATAACGCGTTGTTCTTTCGAAAACCTCTCCATTTTTAATAATGGGAATAAACAGAGATGAAACTGTCAAATTTCAGAGTTGCCACTTGCATGAAAAAAAATTCCAATTTTAAAAAGTGCACTCTTACTGAGACACCCGATGTAAGGGATTTCAATTGATCACCTCTCTGGCCCCCATTTTTCTCTTCGAACCGTCTCTTCATAACACTTCATATTAGCTCAATTGGATTTAAATCCGCGAGATATGGGGGCAGTCGCAAAATATTATGACCATGTAATTTTATTAATTCGCTAGCTTTATACAGAATGGGATCCCACATATATGCAATAAATGAAACCACAAGTATTACTAGTCCGTAGAAGTGTAGAAAAATTAAATATTAAATTATAACCCGTAAAATAAAAAAGTGAAATTTTCAAACAAAATAAATATTAAAATAAATTCAGTAAAAGTGAACACTCTGTTTAGACAACGTACCTTGACCTTGAAAGAGTGACAACGTTGCACGCGGGTTGCATGGCGATTGTCGGCACGGCCTATGGTTCGTTGGACAATGTGCGACGAAATAAAAACTTACTCACTAAACTGTTTAGATATTTTACCGCCACTTTTTTATTTCGCGAAAATGGAACTGAACGAAATAAATATTATTGCATATTAGTAGCAAAATTTAATGAAACCCTAAATTTTAAAATTTTCAAAATGTCCGCCACGTTCTTGAATGCACAAGTTACATCGCCGCATAATGTTGTCCTGAAGCCTGCTCAACAAATTTCGTTCAGGATCCAGAGCCAGGGCTTTTAGTTTGTTAAAGGCGGAACAATACGATTGCGCAGTTCATCTTCGGTTTCGGAGATCTTTGAGTACACTTCATTTTTAATAAAGCCCCATAAAAAGAAGTCTAGAGGAGTGAGGTCGGGCGATCGAGCTGGCCACCTGCGAGGGCCATAGCGCCCTATCCATTGTTCGCCGAACATGGTGTTAAGCCGCTCTCTCGCGAGGAGTACGGAGTGTGGTGGAGGAGCTCCATCTAACTGGAACCACACCCTTTGGTAAGCTTCCACAATATTCTGTTATTAGGCCGTTAAGAATATTGAGAAATTTCTGTGCATTCAGGTTTCCGTCAATAAAAATAGGGCCGATTATTTGATCTCCGTGAATGCCCAAACATTAATGGAAAATCGGTATTGATGAGCTGATTCCCTAAATAAATGGGGATTCGTATGGCTCCAGTAACGCATGGATTGTCGGTTCCATATGCCGTTTCGAGTAAACGTGCTTTCATCTGTCCAAAACACATTTGTTAGGAAACGTTGTACTTGAGACATTTTTTCCAGTACCCAGTGGCAGTAAGATTCTCTAATCGGCTTATCGCGGGGCAGCAGCGCCTGCACCTTAACATATTTATAAGGACGTAGTTTGTTCCTTTTCAGCACTCGGTGTATTGTTTTATGTCTCACTCTAAACACACGCCCAGCTTGTCTAGGGCTGCAGGTTTGATTCCGATCGAAATGGTCTAAGATTCGTTGTTCGAACGAGGGTGGAAAGTGACGCGGAGCAACTCCTTCATGTGTGTTGGGCACTATGCGCTGATTTTCCCTGATTCTTTGGACAGCACCTAGGATTGTCCGGACGCTAGTAGGGCAGACGCGAGTTGCGCCGTATCTCTCACTATAAGTACGCAGAGTTAACGCTGAATTTTGGTGGCATTCGCCATACAATAAAACCATGTCTGTATACTCTGCCGCACTGTAAAAATGCTGTTGTCTTGGCATTTTCCGCCGCCAAAACGTATGCACAAAAGTCAAGTAAAGTCAATATCACAGTGAAAAAATAATAAAAATAAACGTACTTAAAACACTATTTACACACACAAAGTCAATTAACTAATAAGTGTCTATTTCACCGTAAAAGAATTGTTCGACTAATTGTATTTATCTTACGATAATACGATAATTATCTTACGATAAATAATTGCGATGCGTGTAGGCAGCGAAACACACCTGTATTCTGGGAGAATTGCGCGTGAACTGGAAGCCGAATTTCCAAATTCCAAAATGGCGAAAATAATAAAAGTAATAAATAGGGCGGCCACAAGGTGCAATTATCGTTTATCGATACTTTTCTTTTTACACTTACTTAC